GAATGTTAAAAATATAAGGAAGGAGATGGTGCGAAAGACCAAGACACAATTATATCAAGCAAATTAAGGATAAAATTGCAATCGTATCAACATTAAATAAAGATAGATGACAACCGTGGTAAGTAACAAGAGGTATAAAGACTAGAGAGTGGCTGTTAAATTAAAAATGTATAAAGACGATGTATAGATTGTTAGCTATGGACAAATCTCCATAGCAAAGAATCCTTTCCCCCTAACAATTGTATTTATAGTATAAAGGAAATATTGTTTTTCTTAATAACCTCAATAAAACAAAACCCATTACATTTGTATATGTTGTACGCAGAACAGATCAAAACAAACTCCGGAAACTGTCCATAAAATTATATATAGTCTACAAAGAAAACCAGCGGTGAAACAAACGTATAAATAAACGACGTTCCCTTAACTTGAAGCAATACAGAGCTCCCTAACTTTATACACTCACTTTGATTCATTCCGTTGAAATAAGAAAAAATATAATGTCTCCGTTGCATTAAGAAAAAATATACATTTTTCCCGCTTGAACAGCATACGAGAAAATATTGCCATAAGTTTCCTTACAAGAATTCCGAAAGATAATTGTCCTACATTACATAAGAGGATTAACGTAAATGTATTTATCTATTTAAAACATATATATAGTGAGTTACATGTTGATCTTTTTGTAAATGCCTAAATATTTCTACACAATAAAGACTTAAATAAAAAGATAGATAAAGGAAAGATAGATAGAGATAGGAAAGGTGGTAAATATGGTAAAATATTGTTTAACAACATATTACCATCTTTTTATGCTTTCCTTTCTTTTATACCACAGAACGTCCACAAAAGTTTCATGTATATATTTTCAAAATGATTACGATGTCATGAAAGTCCAAGGAAATATAGATGATAAAAATTAACACTTTTATAATGTAATAAAAAATATTTGAAATAGCTTCTTTTTCTACACTTAATGGCAATTATAAACTCAGACACAGGTCTAACAAAAAATATTTAAATTACCTTTTTTTTTTCAACAATTAATGGCAATCATGACATGAAACAATATTAAAGACGTACAGTTCGCATGGTGCTAACCTAACCGCACATCCTAACAACATAACAAAGATGCACAATGCCCTTACCTTATGACCATATTCCATCCGGTTATTTTCTTTGTTGAAAATACCTGATAAAATATTTCAAATGAGTTTTTGGGTCGTTTTATTTATTATGCATACCCGGAAAGTTGTACATTTATAGTTCATATATATTTTTATATTTAGTTTTACCGTTATTTTATAACAATACCGATTGTAGATAGTAGAAGGGCTTATTTTATGAATGAGAGAAACATTTTTAAACAATACTTTATAGCCTCAGTGGACTAGCGGTTTAACACATCATTTTACTTACTATATTCGCGGTATTAATTCCTTGCACGATACAAACATTTCATTCATGAATATGATTGTTTGTATCGCTCTGCATTTTTCTATGTATATTGCGTATATATAAAAAAAAGTATTACTATTTCTACCAGTTGTTTAGTTATCTATAACACAAACTGCTGCGCTGGACGATAGGGAAAGTGATAAAAAATAAGACGTGCATAGAAGGCTGAAAGGTTCTATATAAATAACTCAGTTTGCTTCAAAATAACCTTATTTATACATTTGAGTTTGAGACTAGATGGCGCTGTCAAATTTGCCCTGGATTATTATTTTAATTTCTAATTTTAGTCTGTTAATAATGACAACTGGTTTTGGAATGACTTTAAATTTGAGACTAGATGGCTCAATATAAATTATCCTGAATTATTATTTTTTATTTATAATTTTATTGTGGTGTAACGAAAACTGTTTGTGTATTGTTGTTGAGTACAATGAACATCGTCCTTGCGGCATGCGTCAGACCAACTTCCACATTGGTATCGGACGGATGTGTCCGTCAGAACACGCGGTAACATGTCGCTTTATGTTAGTAGGCCATTTGTTGTCTAATAAAGGTCACATAATTATCAATGTCATAAGTTTTGTCACATTTTCGACTGTTTTACCGTCAAATTGCGAAGTAACGCAATAACACGGTAAAACAGTCGAAAATGTTTCTCCAACACGTTAGTATGGAGACAGCTTAGGAGTCATTCATGATCCCTGCCTTCCCCTCGGCCCTAATGTCTCAGATGGTCACATTTTAATAGTTAAAATGTCGTATTTTAATATCAGCATTAACGTGTGATGTCACAATATTTAAGACCTCTAGGAGAACAGACGGATTTTAGACTTCATTATTTTTAGACGCACTTTGTGACTCTTCGAATCCTTTGCTATACAATGTCACACTTTGTGGATACCACTCTCAATTATTTATATATATATATAAATAAATAAGTAAGTCTTCTGCTTGTTTCTTATTCCAATTACATAAAAAAAAACTCTATTATCCCAATACTACATAAGCATGTAAGGCTTCGATCACACCATACAACATAAGAATAAACGTAAAAAAATTGTGCTGTTATAATTTCTTTTAACCACCAGATGATGGAATCTTTTTACATATGTCGAATGTGGATGTATATAAAAAATTACATTACTTGGAAACAATTCCGATCGGTTGATTGTGAAATATGCATAAAATATATTGTAATGCTCACAGAACCTCTCACCCATTGCAAGTTGTAATGCCTCAGTGCTCTGTAATGTCACTGTGATTCAAAATCACGGTGCTTGGTGGCAGTAATATGTGAGGCAAAACTACATACTTAGGGCTGACTAAAAATCATCGCTGTACATATAGATGCACCTCACTGCCCCTGAGCTGAACAGCTGAGGCAGCTCCTGTCGCAAACTTTGTATGTTTTTATCTTATTGTTGTAGATACTTTTTTTATTTGTTAATTTTGGTAATAAAGGTAACTAACTACCTATCTATATTATTAGGCAAGCCCAATAGATCTATGCAGGCCGTAGTGATACAGGTCTTAGCACCTGACAATAGTCCAAACTCTCAATAACAACTATCTATATAGTATCTTATCAAGCAGCACTCAACACATCTACTTATAGTCGACTGATCGTCGATTAAAGTAGAAAAAAATAGTATCTAATAATAGTAATATACATATATAGCCTAGCCAGTTACGTACGTATATATTTATATATATAAGTATTGATTTTCTATCATATCACAAAAGTAAAATAATATAATATAGTACAGTGCGGTACATTAAAATGTTCATTGTCATTTTTTGTTCAACTGTATTACGTAGTTAATATTTTCTCAGAATACTGCATAATTACAGGTGATGTGCGCTTCAAAAAAAAAACGCTTGGCTCAAGCTAACAGCGGCTGATTCACAAACTATACTAATAATTTGAGTCACGTGCATGTGTATAGCTAATGGTAATGTCAAACAAGCAATGCACACTCACTTTTGATCGAATTCAACTCACTAATGGTCGCCCAATGTTCGAAATTCGACTATAATTTAAACTATAAGTTTCAACATTTGTAATGAAAGTTTGTAGGGAAAAGCGTTATTTTTGAAGCAAAACGATGAAACTATTTTTTGGCTTTTTGGGTTAGATTATTAAATATTTTTTCTTTATTTAGTCAAAGTCTATTCCACGCGAATTCGGGCACAACTAGTTTAATATAATCTTTTTTAAAAATAATCTCACCGGTGCCTTCTTAACAACAACTTACTCGGTTTAGACAATTAACTACATCTAACAAATTAGACCAAGAGTATCGAAGGCTATCAATATATGTAATACTATATTTAAATCTAAATACACATTAATGATTACGTAGACAAGGCTTACGAGTACATTACAGGTTGACAAATCCAATTAAATGAGGGCAGTTGACCGCAAGAGGCATTGATCCTATCTGCGGTTACTGTCACATGTTGGTGTTTGAAATTCACATCATATATACAATCACATTTATATCTGACATGACATAGGTACAGGCATGTCTTTCTATCTATGCTTATAAAGACAGAGAGCAAGGATTTTGTTATGTGGAAAAAACTTCTGAACCTTTGCTCTGATTTGACAAATTACTTTACTGACTAAATTGTACATTATTCCAGAATGTTATAGAAAACTAGCTGTCCCGGCAAACGTTGTTTTGCCTTAAAATAAAAAAAAAATTAGGGGGATGAAAAATAGATGTTGGCCGATTCTCAGACCTACTCAATAAGCTCACAAAATTTCATGAGAATCGGTCAAGCCGTTTCGGAGGAGTATGGGAACGAAAATTGTGACACGAGAATTTTATATATAAGATAAACATATTATGTTAATATTAGATTATTTATATATTATAAATAATCTAATATTATAGGCATACAAAACAGTATATTATTTTTCATTTATCGCTGTTCACAGTCGTAAATCCTTACAATCTTGTGCTTCTCCAGTCCACTCCACAATTGTTCTGTCAGTCAAAGGTTGAATGGATGAAATCCGTTTTCAGGATTAATCAGTTTTTCTACTAATTCTTTGTATAATATTCTAGACAAAACTTGAACACGTACTAATCTAGGTAGGTTTAGGTCTTCCAAGTTCTCAACTAAAACTGTAGCCTGAACTGGACGGTAGGATTAAAATAATATTTATGTCTAAAATATTCTACATGAAATATTATATCCTTCATAAATTATACTAAATTTAAATATAGAATCCGAATAACTTTGTATGCGAAGGATCGAGAATCATGTCTTAAAAAAAGTATATATACCATGGACGACCGAAATAAGATTTATTGTGTGAAAGATGATATGTATATGATATGACGGCCGACAGGGATCAGTGGAAGAGGATGACATACTACACCGACCCCAAATAATAGGATAAATGTAAAACAATAATGATATAGAATCCGCAATCTTTGCAAGTTGAAACCGTATTAAATCTCTACACAAAACAACACCAAGGTCGTCAAAAACATTAGCAATATCAGCATATGTCCTATTATAATTCATACCTCGTCTGCAGGCTTGGTCGGTGTGATTGCGACGGTTTCGTTGAAGCACAAACACGCGCAGTAATGCCGGTTGGCGTCCACATCCGTCAGGACGGACACGTAGAACCGAGGCTCGGACCTCTCCGTCGAAAGAGCCCATCCTTGCGGCTGGCAAAACTGTGTACAATTTCGAAGAGGTCAATAGATCTTATCTTAATAATATTATAAACACCAAAGTTTTTGAATATGTATGTTTGTTACTCTTTCAGGCAAAAACTACTTATCGGATTTTTATGAAACTTTACAATGATATAGCTTATGCATCTGAATAACATATAGGCTAGACTTTTTTTTATTGAAGTTTATATACTGAAATTTAACGCGGATGAAACTGGGGGCACATCTAATTAATATTATAAACGAGAAGGTGTTCACGCAACTCTTTCACGCAAAAACTACTGAACGGATTTTAATTAAACTTTACAACAATATAGCTTATACAACAGAATAATATATGGGCTATAACTTATACACCAGAATAACACACGCTATAACTTAAAAATATATTATCAGTACAGTTCTAATAGTCATCGAGGCAACGTTTTTACATTCAGAATTAATTCCAGTGTTTGTAACACAATAATAAACTTAGACAATTCATAAGGTCGACACAATAGATCTCTTAAGTAGATCACAGTGTTACAGTCTAAAACACAGAATATTAGCCCAAACCGCTGAATAAAAAAAAATACATTTCACACAACGTCGTCTAGCCCCAAGTTAAGATGAACATGAGTTGTAAGTACTAGACAACTGATAGAAATACTTAAATACATTAGGTTTTTTCGAACTGTACTAATGCTGTTGGCCGCAGTTGGCTTTTACAGCTTCACCGGACAGTGCAGATGGCTTGACTCCTTAAACTAAACACAGTTTGCTATTTGGCATAACACAAACTGTTGGGAAGCTAAAATGACAGAGACTTAGGTGATACGTGAAAGTTGAGGTGATGTGATGTGATGTGATGTGAGATGATGTGAGGTGACGTAATAAGTGAGATCCACGCAGATGACTTTTTACAATGTCTACCTCGGTGAGTTTATGGTCAAATTGAGCAATAACAAAATATTTCTATTTACCCATTCGATGCCGTCGTGAAATGGTGTATCGTCCCAGTTTGTCTCTGGAAATCGCTGAAGGATCACGCCGCTACTCAGACCGCCACCTGGAACAATATTTAATTATTTATTTAATACTAGTTGTTAATTACTTGTTGTTAGTTACTAGTGCATACAGTCTATCTTCATGACAGATTTAATTGAGTTTAGGCGCGAAATGGTAACAAACAGACAGACACGACTAATACAAACAATTATACTTATAAATACAAATGTTTGCACCGTGCGGTGAATCGAACCCGCGACCATCGGCAGTAAATCGGTGTGCTTAACCGCTAGACCACCGAGGTCGTCAATATATATTATTGGAAACATACGTATAACTTGGGACTGATTGGTTCTATTGTAAACATTCCCCGACGTTTGATGGTCGGCATATAGAGAGAGTAATCATCAACCCTTATTCACGCCAACTCTAGATTTACGACAGCTCAAAAATTATGATATTGTATTATTCAACTAAGTGTACAAAAAGATGAGTATAGAGAATACTTATACAATGTAATGTGTACAACTATTGGTACACATTATATTCATTAAACAGGATATAAATAATTACCAAGATAATAATGTTTTATAACTCCCGAAATATCAAACAGACCTGAAACGGACAAGTCGACAGTGAAAGGGGTCCTGTGAACTTGGCACACGATATTCAAAAATCGACTTTTTTTTTAGAGTTCTGACATCCTTTTGAATAGTTCTAGAGTTCTTTATAATCATTTTAAATAGTTCCGATGTTTAAATTAAAAAAAAAAATTGCAAAAAATATAAATCTACAAAAAAAAAAATTACGAGTTCCAGCTGATCTGATCGGAGTTCTGGGTAGCGCTACCTGAGTTCTATCGAAAAGTCTAATAACTTTTTCCTGTGAAATAATTATTTTCCAAATTATCGCCATTTTTAACTTTTCATGACTGACTTATAGGAGAATTTTTTTACGAGTTCTAGTCGATCTCATCGGAGTTCTGGGTAGCGCTACCTGAGTTCTATCGAAAAGTCTAGTAACTTTTTCCTATAAAATCATTATTTTCCAAATTATCGCCATTTTTAACTATTTAAGGCTGACTTATAGGAGATTTTTTTTTACGAGTTCTAGCTGATCTGATCGGAGTTCTGGGTAGCGCTACCTGAGTTCTATCGAAAACTCTAGTAACTTTTTCCTGTGAAATAATTATTTTCCAAATTATCGCCATTTTTTACTTTTCAAGACTGACTTGTAGGAGAATTTTTCTTTTGACGAGTTCTAGCCGATCTGATCGGAGTTCTGGGTAGCGCTACCTGAGTTCTATCGAAAAGTCTAGTAACTTTTTTCTGTAAAATAATCATTTTCCAAATTATCGCCATTTTTTACTTTTCAAGACTGACTTGTAGGAGAATTTTTCTTTTGACGAGTTCTAGCCGATCTGATCGGAGTTCTGGGTAGCGCTACCTGAGTTCTATCGAAAAGTCTAGTAACTTTTTTCTGTAAAATAATTATTTTCCAAATTATCGCCATTTTTTACTTTTCGAGACTGACTTGTAGGAGAATTTTTCTTTTGACGAGTTCTAGCCGATCTGATCGGAGTTCTGGGTAGCGTTACCTGAGTTCTATCGAAAAGTCTAGTAACTTTTTCCTGTGAAATAATTATTTTCCAAATTATCGCAATATTCCAAATATCTTGAAAAGTTAAAAATGGCGATAATTTAGAAAATAATTATTTTACAGGAAAAAGTTACTAGACTTTTCGATAGAACTCAGGTAGCGCTACCCAGAACTCCGATCAGATCAGCTAGAACTCGTAAAAAAAAATCTCCTATAAGTCAGCCTTAAAAAGTTAAAAATGGCGATAATTTGGAAAATAATGATTTTACAGGAAAAAGTTACTAGACTTTTCGATAGAACTCAGGTAGCGCTACCCAGAACTCCGATGAGATCGACTAGAACTCGTAAAAAAATTCTCCTATAAGTCAGTCATGAAAAGTTAAAAATGGCGATAATTTGGAAAATAATTATTTCACAGGAAAAAGTTATTAGACTTTTCGATAGAACTCAGGTAGCGCTACCCAGAACTCCGATCAGATCAGCTGGAACTCGTAATTTTTTTTTTTGTAGATTTATATTTTTTGCAATAACTTGCAAAATAATTATTTTCCAGGAAAAAGTTATGGAGCTTTTCTGTAGAACTCGGAGAATGCTGCCCAGAACTATTATCAGATCGGCTAGAACTCGCGTCGGAAATTGATCTTTTCTTACATGAATTATAATTTGGACGCGGCGAAACTTCAAAAATCGATTTTTTCGTTTTAATCGCTAGAACTATTGATATAACTGATAGAGAACTGTAGAACTATTGTAAAGCAAGCTAGAACTCCGAAGAAATTTGTGATTTTCGTGATTTCGTGCGCTGCGTGAACTTAGCGCATGATTTTTTAAAATTTGTTTTTTTTTAATTTAAACATCGGAACTATTTAAAATGATTATAAAGAACTCTAGAACTATTCAAAAGGATGTCAGAACTCTAAAAAAAAAAGTCGATTTTTGAATATCGTGTGCCAAGTTCACAGGAGTAGTGAAAGGCCGTAGTAATAGAGACGAAATCTCTTAAATAATATTCTCATTGTAAACATATCATTTATATAACGTGTACAATTGTAAACAACCAAAAAGGTTTTAATAAATATGGGTATTGTTGTTAGAAATACAACAGTACTCATACTATTTAAAACTTGGTCTCAATATGTATCTTCCAATTGCTAAAAGGCCGATTTATAAACTAAGAACTGTAGATAGTACTAGCACAATTACAATTTTTAGGCATCCACACGTTTTTAGGCAAATTTTGACAAATATTTTCCCATAGAATACTGTAGAAATACATATAATAATAATTATTAAAGACAATATAACAATATTAACTAAGAACTATAGATGAAGTCTGCAATACTAACACAACTACCGTTTTTTTAGCATCCACAAGTTTTCAAAAGCATATTGGCGAATTTTTGATGACTGCGAACAGGAATGAATGTGAGAGAAAAAGATATTACGCCGACCCCAAATAAATGAGATAAGGAAGAAGCAGATGATGATTTCCCACAGAATGATGTACAAATGTAACAAAAATGTTATTAAAGACAAACAATACAGTAGTACCAATGATATTTTTATAACATCACGAACCCACTAGCTAGCGAGTTGTTTGTTAAATTCCTGCTTTAATTAATTGCTACTATATTCCTAAACGCTACCATACCATACATTCACCATAATTTAATTGGTCGTGACTAATTGGCTGTCGACTACTTGGTATACATGTTATAAATCTGTTGTAATGTAAACAAATCCAATAAGGCATGAAAGTTTGAGGTGAGCGATTAACAGAAAACACGTTTATAAATAGACAAATATCGCGCGACACGTGACACGCTAGTACTACAAGTAGCTTACTCGTTTGAGACTGGCCTTAACGGGAGAGTTTACTATGATTCTGAGCTTCTATATGTCCTTATATAAAACTATAACAACCGTCTACAGTACTGATAGATATATGTGTATGGGTCACGCTTCGGTAATAGGAGCATGGTGTCCAGGATGCCGATCGTGTGAGGATTCTCATACTGAGAGGGGAGGTGATTTCATGTTTGTCCAACTAAATTTAATACTTTTATTTACGGCAAGCGGTCAATCTTTTTATATAATTACAATTGCAAACTAACAGACAGTGGATGGTAAGTGGTAACCGTTGCCTCTGTACATTAACACAACTGCGGATACCGTGTTATTATGTAACGCCCGTGATACCGCTCATCCGTCGCCATTCAATAGCACCAAGATATCATACCCTAATTTCCTGCAACTTCACTGCGTTATCTCACCCCTCAACCGAAACAGTTTACAAAGCAAGCTGTTGAAATAGGTAACACATAACAGTTCAGAAACTGAGGAGTGAGAATTGTTAGTGATGTGAACTGATGACCTCATTGCTAGCACTGTACCATGTCAGGTTAACCGCCGATTTTTACCCAATAATTGTTAATTATTGGAAAAAAATCGGAATACTTGTAGTTGTACGGTCGTTACCATTCTACAAAACATAGAGGACAGATAAACAAACAATGTTATTACGCAGTGTCAATATTACAATGATTTATTGCATAATTAAGTATCGCTATCATTACACGGACATTATATTATTATTTATCATAATACCAACGGAATGTATCACATATTACTATTGTTGTTCTCATTATTTACCATACAGTCATCATTATAAAGACATCGCCCTGGTCGAAGAAAACATATAATAACAGCTACTTTAAATACAAGATCTATAATAATTACAATACTTTGAATTTATTATTTTAAATAATTAAAGTTCTAAATAAAATATAAAGAATCTTGAGTAGAAGATTTTATCAAATAACGCAATGGCTCTATAGATCACCCGAGGTAGACTACGCATGGGAAAAGTAAATTGTTAGTATCTAATGGAGATTTTTTTCAATGATACTGAAGTAGCGCATCCTGCTGCGCTAACGGTTTACGCTGGCGGGGCATCAGTGGAGGAAGGTCGATGACGCTGGACTTACTGATCTAACTTCGTCATTCTTATTCTGTCTCTAACATTGGTCCCGCCAACGTGTATGGTTGGTGAAGTGTACCATTAGTAATAGCATTAGGAATACCAAGAAGGTCACATCATCACGTGCTTGCAAGCAGTACCGCGTACATCACGTGCGTGGTAATGATATCCATGTGTACATACATTAGGCATCACCACTTTCTACCTGATGGCCCGTCAACTTGCAGATTTACCAGTGGCCTAACAGACCTAACGTCATTCTTATCTCCACATACACACAGAAGCACAGAAATTGCACTTTCTTCATATTATGTTTGTGCGGAAGAAACGTACGAAATTCGATGTTACTGCTAGGACGAACTGGTTTTCTTAATTTATGATACGGATCGACAAGTGAAAGTTCTATAATTACGATCTTTCGATATAGCTGGCTGAGTGTAGTACGTAGAAACAGTGTTACCAGATAACTCTCCGGTATTCTC